AAATATCCAGGATATGTAATTATTAAAGTTATCAGATATGGATTTTAAACTAAATATGGTTAATAGTGTCAAAGATTAAATAATAAAACGGAATCCATAGTTCAATTAATGAAATTAGCAGCAAATTAGAAAGAGCTTAAAAGAAAATTAATGTATCTGAATAAATATTCAGCCTTAGGATCAAAGCCTGAAGAAAAAATGAGAGCACAGATAATGTCAGACATGATTAAAAGGTCTAATATATTCAAGAGAGAAAGGAAACAATGAGGCAGAAAAAATATTTGTGGAACTAATAGCCAGAAATTCCCCCAACTGAAATAAGAAATAAAATGTCTACATTTGTATAAAAGAAAACCTTCAAGATTTGCAGATAAATAATTGCTTATTTGGAATGTTAGAAAGAATGCACATTACGAAATAAACCTAGCAAGTTTTCTAGATACATCAATATACAAAGATCAATTGGATTTATATATACCACCAACAAACAATTACAAACTTACAAACTTACTTTAAAAAAAAAAACCCTCATTAATTGGGACCAGCAGATGGCATAATGGTTACATTGCTGGACTTCCACATAGTTCAAATCCCAGATCCGGTGGCTTCAGGTTCATGCTAGGTGCATGTGCATACACGCCCAAAATTCCTAGAGGAGAATGGAGAATAAATTGTGGTGTGGCCATCTCCCCTGTGGGGAATGATTTCTTGCTATCTCTCCCTGTTTCTCCAGTGAGTGTATGTGCTCTATAGCAAAAATCTTTCTAAAAAAAGTACATTAATCTTCTTTTTTCTTTCTTTCTTTCTTTCTTTCTTTCTTTCTTTCTTTCTTTCTTTCTTTCTTTCTCTTTCTTTCTTTCTTTTTCTCTTTCTTTCTCTTTCTTTCTTTCTTTCTTCTTTCTTTCTTTCTTTTTTTCTTTCTTTCTTCTTTCTTTCTTTCTTCTTTCTTTCTCTCTTTCTTTCTCTCTTTCTTTCTTTCTTTCTTTCTTTCTTTCTTTCTTTCTTTCCTTCTTTTTCTTTCTTTCTTTCTCCTTTCTTTCTTTTTTTTAAAAATATATTTTCACTATAGGGCACATATGCTTGCCAGGGAGACAGACAGAATGAGAGAAGTAACCCCTCAGGGGGATGGCGACACCACAGTCCCTTCTATTCTCCTCAGGATTTTGGACGTGCATGCACATGTGCCTGGCTTGAGTTTTAAGTCACTGGGTCTGGGACTTGAACCCCAACCGACTATGTGAGAGTCCAGCAACATCTGCCGATCCCTTAATTTCTTTCATGGGAGAGAGAATGAAAAAGAACAATAGAGAGAGAGAGTGGAGAGAGAAACCCTTTACAGATTTTCCTCACCCTGTACTTCTTGTCCCCCAACCTTCTCACTTGCCAAGATCTGGACACCCACATGCACATGCCCAGAATGTTGCAGATCAGTCCAGGTTCTGAACCCATAGTCGACCATGTGGCTTTCAGCATTATAGGTGTGTATATTACCACCTGTCCCCTATAGCTGGGCCAATCTTTTTATCTTAATATCAAATGCAGTAGTAACAAAAATGATCAAATCCCTGAAAATAAAACTAAGGAAAAATATACAAAACTGATACACAGAAAATATTGAGAAAATTTTAACAAGATTTAAACAGATGGGTATATCATATTCATGAATCGAAATATTAAGTACTGTAGCAATGTCAGTTCTCCCCAAATCGATGAACATGAATGCAGTGCAATTTCAAACAAGGTATCTCCAGGGGTTTGGGGTGTAACTGTGAGTGAAACTTGACACTGATCCTAAACTTTACATAAAATGTAAAGGTTTAAAAATAGCCAAGGTAATTTTTTAAAGAATTATTTATTTAATTAATTGCATTTATTATTAATTTTTAACTTGACCAGAGAGAGAGAAAGAAAGGGAAAGCAAGAAAGCAACCTGCCAGGTCTGGGACTTGAACCGCAGTCTGCCATGTGGAAGTCCAGTGCCTTAACCACCACATCACCTGTTGGCATCATGGCCATGATAATTTTAAAAGAACCACAGAGTTGACAGATTGGTACTATTGGATATCAAGATATAGTATACATTAAGGGAGTGTGCCAGCAGCACAGTGAGAGACAGAATATAGTCAAGGCACTGACCCACACTCAATATATGATGTGGCTAACCCTTTAATATGGTAGGAGAGGATAGATTTTCCTGTAATGGCACAGGGTCAATTACACTAGTATGAAAAAATGTCTTGACTCCTATTTCATATCATACAATTCCATTCAAATGGATCTAAGTGTGAAGGCTAAAACAATAAGGCTTCTTGAAGTAAATACAAGAGAAATATTTATGACCTTGAGACAGGCAAATATTTTCTAACAGAACCCCCAGAATTCTTTAACCATAAATGAAAAGAAGATGGCTTACTCTATCTTAAAATTAAAGACTTCTGTTCATTATAAAAATAGTACAATGAAAAAGTTTAGCCATGGATGAGAAAATATATTTGTAAGGCATGCAGATTAGTATCCAGAATAAACAAAGAAAAGGCTTACAAACAAGAAAAAAGACTGCCTACTCAATATAAACACAAGGAAGAGACTTAAATAGGTATTTCACAAAAGAATATATACAAATGGCCAGTAAATAGACAAAACTCTCCCTAATCACCAAAAACGCAAATTAAAGTCACAATGGAATACTATCACCAAACCTATGAAACTGATTGCAAGGGAAAGTATTAAAAGCATCAGGTGTTAAAGGGGGTGTGGAGCAACAGGAATGCTTGTACACTGCTAGTTGGAATGAAAACTGATATAACCACTTTGGAAAGCTGTTTGGCAGTATTCATTAAAGTTGACCATAAGAGTATCTGCTACCCAGTAAATTCATCCTAGTTATAAGTCACATGGCAATTTAAAAGTCATAGGACCATCAGGTGGTGATGGTTATGTCACTGGATTCCCACATAGCCAGACTTTCCATGGTTGACTGTGGTTGGAGTCCTGGTCCCTGTGGCATAAAACTTATGACAGCATGTGTGTGTGTATGCTCAAGATTCCAAAGAGAAGAAGACATTAAAGAGAGAGATGAAAGACATTTATGGGACAAAGAAATGGGTCATTATCTGTTGATGATAACATGTATAGTATCCCCAACTGGGCAGGTGAGAAATAAATTCATGTTGGAACATTCACTTTACAAGCAAAGGATGTATGTGATTGAATGTATAAAAGAAATTAAAACTAGGGACCAGCAGTTAGCATAATGGCTATGTCACTGAACTCCCATGTAGTCAACCACAGTTCGAGTCTTGGACCTGGTGGCTTAAACTCATGCCAGGTGCATGTGCGTGTATGCCCAAGATCCCAAGAGGAGAATGGAGGAGAAGGGATTGCAGCGTGGCCATCCCCTCTGGGGAGTGATTTGTCATTTTCTGTCTCTCTGTCTCTCTGGCCAGCCCACGCTCCCTATAGCAAAAATCTCTCCAAAAAAAAAAAAAAAGGAAATTAAAATAAAATAAAATAAAATAAAAAACCCAAGAGGAGAATAGAGAAGTGAATGTATGCAGCCATTCCCCGTAGGGGTTCATTTCTCACTTTCTATCTTTCTGTCTCTCTTTGTTTCTCTGGCAAGAGCATGCACCCTATACCAAAAATCCCTCTAAAAAATAAATCATTTTTGACAATTCCCATAACATTATTTGTCAGTGTTCGCCCTGGGCTTGGCTTGAGCTGAATCATGATCAGGAGGCTAATGGTGAAAAAGAGAAAGAGGAAGAGAAAGAGGAAGCTCTTCATCTCGAGAGGACCGGGGAATAGGAAAGAATGAGACAAAGAGACAGAGTAACAGCAGACACAGGCAGCCTGAGCCTAGGTAGCCCAAGCAACTTGTGCTGCCCAAACAATCTGGGTGTCTTTATTTATAGTACAAGGCAACATTGCATATGTGTATTTTACAACATCTCATAGATTCATTGCCAGGTTATAGACAATAAGAAGCAGGTAACAAATCTATAATAGCTTAGACATAGTAAGCCGGGTGTATCTGGGTGTATCTGGCTGTATCCCCTGATGAACATCACATCATGGAGAAATCCCATTAGACTTTTTTTCTAATGGAGAGAAGCCTAGCTAAGGTGTGGGGAGGATACACCTTTAAAACATAAAAGGGATGCCGAGAAGGCTAAAGACTCTTACAGAGGCAGAGAAAGGATTGAACTTTGCTAATTGGGGTCAAGATGTTTCCAGAATTCCATCAGATGTGTCTGTTGGAAGGCCCCTAGCAATTTATACCCTTCGCTCTCCCTGCAGCAAGGGTCAAGGAAAGGACAAGCTGCAAAGTTCTGCCATAGCCCAAAGGGACAGGTGGTGTTTGCTCAGAGCACGTCCCCACACTCTCAGGGCTTCTCTCCAAATGTGTCCCTACAATTATTTATAATAGCCCTGCTGGAAATAACTGTCCATCATCAGCAGAATGAATACAGAATGCTGCACCTCTAAGAGCATTACAGAACAGGATTCAGAAAACTCTGTTACAGGCCCAGTGGCCTGTCAAGCTTATCAACTCTGCTGTGGTGGGCTGAAAGCATATGTAAACAAATGCTGTTTGCAAGCCTCTGCCAGGCAGCAGTGGAAATGGATGCCCTGTTGCTCCAGGAAAGAATGTGGATGTACCTCAGAGCATGATGTTAGCACAGGCAGACTCGGGAGTGTGTTCTGAAAGGTGGGAAAGGAGACTAGGAGGGTTCAAGGGTGGTTTCTGGGAATACTCTACCCAGGGTGTCCACTCTGTTCTCATTTGTTGGTCGTACAGTATGACGTGTACATTTACATGTGCATGTGTGTTTCAATAAGCAGTTCTGTTAAATAACAATTATGTGAAAGTAGTAAAGGATGACCCCAGGATAATCTAGAGATGCTTTGAAAAAAAGTACAGAATGTAGCCAGATCACATCAGAGGATGGATTTTCATAATGTGTTTTGGTGTCACTTTAATTTTACTTTGTATTTAGGGTACTTGGCCAAAGCAGGTGACTACTTACTGCTCAGAGATGAGATTGAAGTCATGCTTGAGGGTGAGTATCAAGGTTATAATGAAATCTTGCTACACAGGTTTTTTAAAAAAGTCACTACTCAGGATTACAATTATTATATACAAAGTACCTCCAAAAAGTTCATGAAATATGTATTATTTTTTTTAAAACTATACATGTATTTCAGCTCTTTTGCACCAAAATAAACTTGCACTTTAATTTACTCTTCCATGAACTTTTTGAAGTCCCCTTCTGTTAATTTCTTGTAAGGATACCAGGATGAGAGAACAGTGGTACTGCTGGGCATTTTCAGGGATGAATGATAGGACTGCGTTAAGAGGCATTTCTGTTCTTTTTTCTGTTTCTCTTACTCTTTCTCCTTGTTTCAGTTTTTTTTTCTCCATTTTTTCCTCTCATTGTCTGAGGACCTGTCACCCTAGAGCCCTTGGGAATTACAAAAGGTTGAAGGTTCATTCACTCATTGATCTGACAAATATTTTCCAGTATCTTTGATGTGACAGCATTATTCTACCTCCTGGAAATACAACAGCAAATAAAGCAGTCTCTTCCTTCAGACAATTTAAATTTTAGTGGATGGGAATGTACATTTGCAGAGAAGGGAACTAAAGAGTAATTTTACCAGAAGGTTTGGGTCTTAGGCATCTCTTTATTAGCCTCAGTTTATTGCCCCATCAGATGAGTTACAAATTCAGATGAGTTAGAAAAATAGGGTGATTGCCTTCTTTCCTTCCTATTTTTTTTCTTTTTTTGGAGAGGTTTTTGCTATAGGGCGTGTGCTCTCGCCAGACAGACAGAGAGAGACAGAGAGGCAGAAAGAGAAAAATCACCCCCCAGGGAGGATGGCCATGCCGCAATCACTTCTCCTCCATTCTCCTCTCGGGATCTTGGGCATGCACGCACACGCTCCCGGCGTGAGTTTTAAGCTACTGGGTCCAGGATGTGAACCACGGTCCACCACATGGGAGTCCAGAGACATAGCCACTATGCTAACTGCTGATCCCTTTCCTTCCTATTTTTAACATACTTTAGTTTTCAGAGCAGTTTCAGGCTCATGACAAAGTTGTGCTGTAAGTGCAGGTTCCCCATGTAGGCATCCACCCCTCCTCCACCCCCCCCATCATCAACGCATCATCAACATTCCCCAGAGTGACGTATTTTTAAGATGGGCCAACCTAGTTGACATATCATTATCTTCCTTACTTTCTCATTCATTCATTCACTTGCCTTTTTTTTTTTCTTACGGGTTTTTGCCTTAAGGTACATGTGCTCACTGCAGAGACAGTAAGAGGGCAAAGGAGAAATTACCCCCTGGGGAGATGAACAACATTGCCACAATCCCTTCTCCTCCAGTCTCTTCCTGCAGTCTTGGGCACGCATGCTCATGCACCCAGCATGAGTTTCAAGCCACTGAGTATGAAACTTGAACCGCAATCGGCCATGTGGGAGTCCAGCAATGTAATCGCTACACCATCTGCTGACCCCATTCGTACATTTAACACATACTTAACTGCCTTCTAAATGTCAAGACTAGGAATCTTCCTCTGTCTTTCATAACCTTTTTCTTCTTTCTCTCTTACTGTTCCATGCTCCTTTCTGCATCTCCTTTCCCTCTTGCAATAAAAAAATAAAAAATTTCTTACTCACTATTTGGATACAATGATATTATTTCAGTATATGTATTATCCCAGGTCTTTGTAAAAAAATAAGCTATTGCATATTTGTCTTTAAAACTATCAGTTTTATAACTTTTTTTTTTTTACTTACTCATATATCATAAACATCTTTCCATTTCAAGAAATTTAGGTCTACATCATCATGCTAGTGTGTGTGTACTATTTTATTTTATGACATTCTAATTTCTAAGCAGTTCTCACCAATGAATATTTAGATGGATTCCAACTTTTTAAATTATTGTAACATGAATTCATGAATATAATATATTCACAAGTATTTGTTTAAGCAATCAAGCAGGATGCTCATCACATGAGAGTTGCTTGGCTAATGTTTAATGACATTTGTCTTCTATGGGACATGCTGGGAAAAGAACATAAAACATATAGAGAATGCTACTAGTCAAAGTAGTGGATTGTCAGAAAAATCATGATGTATTTTTCGTTTTTTATTTATTTATTTATTTATTTTAATGCAAAAAGGCATCATACTTTTCTGACAACCCAATAGCAAATGGAGGGAGCAGGGAGAAGGGAGTAGGGGAGAATGGGCTCTGTAGGTGGGCTATTCAGGTTTAGAGTTTCATGACCTCTCAGAGAGACATGCCTTAAAGTAAGGGCCCTTCTGTCATTACAGTTATGGAACCAATGCTTCAAGATGAAGATCTGGTGGTCAGAGAGTTGGCAGAAAAAACCCACAAGCTTTTTAAGGAAATTGCCCAGGGAATGACCTCCTCAACTATTAAACGAAACTTTAAAAAATTGGTTAAGTTCACCTATGTCAAAAAATTGAAGCCACTTTATTATTATTACCAGCCTGAGGACCAAACAGAGTGTCCTACACAAATTGCAAAGACTAAGGATAAGGAAAGCCTCATAGAAGAGAAGGATGAGAACATCATGGTCAAGAATTAGCATCCAAATAGTATCTTGGAGTGAACTTCTGCAAAGGAATGAGTTTCTTTCCTTCTGGACAACTTGAGTCTGTTTGTAGACAATTTTATTAAGGATTCTAGAAAGGATATTGTCCCTTCTTAATACAAAAATAGAAATTAGAGAAATCTTAGTGCCTCTCTGTCCAATATTGACCAGAAATCCTACTTCATCAAACTGACTGACACAATTAAAAAATATACATAAACAAAGTGTTTGATGAGAGACTCTTGGAATTTATTATTCAATCAATGAGCACTTGTTGAGCATCATTGAAGTGCCTAATCTTGTGTTGGGCAGCAAGGATAGTTAATGATACAGACAAGGGTCCTGCCCTCAGGTGGTCACAGTGTGGTCTCTTCTGTACAAGTGTGAGGAACACTGCCCAAGGTTGGGTCCCCCCAAGCTGAAGATGGAACTCAAGGGACAGGAAGGGAAATGAAATACAGGTAGAGGCATTGAGACAGTGAGTGTGGGGGAGGCTGAGGAGCTTAGGGATATAACTGTGGGTGGGAAAGAAGAGTGGGGAGCACTGACACACAGGGAAGTATATGCTGAGCTAATGGGGTGATGCTTTCAGAAATGGAGATCAGATAATTGGTCATGGTCAGTGTTCCTGTTGACATCATGATCTGATCAAACATGGTGTCCTGGATTATAAAACCTTTTAGGGGCCAGCCAATGGCATGGTGGTTAGGATGACTGGATCACACATGACTGACTGTGTGTTTCAAATCTCAGACCACTAGGTGTGTCTAAAATCCCAAGAAGAGAATAAAAAAGGGATTGAGCATATCCATCTCTCCTGAGGGTTGCTTTCTCAGTTTCTTTCTCTCCAGTGAGTGCATGTACCTCATAGTAAACAACAAATAACAAAATAAAGAAGCCTAGACTTGGACTGAGGATATCTGGGTTTGAGCCCTGGCTTCTGCTTTGTAGCTGAGAGCCATAAGTAATTCATTTCACTCCAGGTTTTCTTTCCGTGATATGGAGTACATATTCTCTAAATCATGCACAGTATTATTATGAAGTTTACCGGGATAATTCCATAGGAACTACTTATCAAATATTGAGTGTGTAGATATAAGGCTGTGTCCATTGGGTCTATAGATGTCAAATCTCCAATCTAGCTGCTTTCCTTAGTTTTGTTTCCTGAGTTTGGAGGCTGTCCCTGGATACCTCTCAGTCTGCAGTGGTTTTCTTCCATGCACCTTCCCTCCACCAACTGGGCAGGCTTTTCACAACGAAGTCCTCCCGTTGGGAGAGTCTCTTTTACTGGCATCTTGTGATTCTTCATTCATCATTAGAAGTCTTGTGAGCCCAGCAGATGTCATAGTGGTTATGTCACTGAACTCCCACATGGCCAATGGCAGTTTGAATTCCAGACTTTGTGACTTGAAACTCATACCAAATGCATGTGCGTGCATCCCTAAGATTCCGGGAGTACAATGAAGGAGAAGGGATTGTGGTGTTGCCATCCCCTCTGAGGGATGATTTCTCACTTTTCCTCCCACTGTTTCTTTCTTTCTCTCTCTCTCTCTCTCTCACAGGCACATGCAATGTAAGGAAAAAACCTATTAAAAAAAAGGAGGAGGAAGAACAGGAGGAGGGGAGGGGAGGGGAGGAAGAGGCCTGATGTACTCAAAGGAACAGAGCCCTCAGAAAAAATCTGGGTACCTCACTCCCCAATTTTTTTTTTTTTTGGAGAGATTTTCACTATAGGGTGCGTGTGCTCGCCAGACAGACAGAGAGAGACATAGAGACAGAAAGCGAGAAATCATCCCCCAGGGGGGATGGTCACGCCGCAGTCCCTTCTCCATTCTCCTCTTGGGATCTTGGGCACACACGCACACACGCCCGACATGAGTTTTAAGCCACTGGGTCCGGGACGTGAACCACAGTAGACTACGTGGGAGTCCAGGGACATAGCCATTATGCTAACTGCTGGTTCCCCCTCACTCCCAAATATTTATTTATTTATTTTCAATTTATTTATTTTTCTTTGTTTTTTGGAGAGGTTTTTGCTATAGGGCGTGTGTGCTCGCCAGACAGACAGAGACAGAGAGACAGAAAGCGAGAAATCACCCCCCAGGGGGGATGGCCACACCGCAGTCTCTTCTTCTCCATTCTCCTCTTGGGATCTTGGGCACACACGCACACACGCCCGACATGAGTTTTAAGCCACTGGGTCCGGGACGTGAACCACAGTAGACTACGTGGGAGTCCAGGGACATAGCCATTATGCTAACTGCTGGTCCCCTGAATCTTTATTGAGTCATTGCTCTCAGGAGATTAAATTCTAACTCCTTAACATGGCACACCTTTCAGATAAAGGCTAGAAGATTCAGTCTCTCCCTCGCCTCTTATCACCTATGTGCCATTATAGGGAATCACCTGCACTGGTCCAAGCACAGTGATTCAGGGCCAGGGCTGTGCCACTGGGTATCCTGGATCCCTCCTTCACTGTCCATGTGGTCACAGCCAGGATTGCAACCTGTGTGTGCTGCAGCTTCCTCCTCTGTATAACCAGGATAGGACTTGACCCACTCTTAGCTTTGAAGGACAGAGTGATAATGCCAAGCAATGTGGGTTCACACGGCAGAGTCCACAGATCTGGTGCTCTCTAAGGTATGGCTGAGGTTTCTTTGTCTCCTTCCAGCAGTGTGACATACTTTACCCAAAAGGCCAAATTTCAAAAGGACCTCTCATACTAGATAACCAAGTCGGTTGTTCTTGTACTCTGGAATTTTCAGGAAAATAATTATATCACAGCATCTCTGTCAAGAGAGATTAAAAAAGAAAAGATGAATACAATGCAAATGTCTATGAACAGATAAACAGGAAGACCACATACTGTCTATCCATGCAATAGCATGTTATCAAACCTGAAAAGGAAGCACTGATACATGCCACAGTATGCAGATGTCTCAGAGGCATTATGCTAAGTGAAAAGACCACATACTGCACAACTCAGCTTATACAGAATGCCCTGAGAAGTTATATCCACAGAGATAGACACAGGTCAGTTGTCACCAGGACCGGGGTTTAAGGGAAGAAGATAGAAGTAGATGCTTAATGAGTGTGGGGTTTCCTTCCAGGGTGATGAAAATGTCCTGGTACTTGAAAGATAATCAGATGTGCTGCATGCACCTCATTCGATGCTGAAAAATGACATATTGTGTGAATTTTACCTCAATTTTTAAAAACGATAGGGAATAGTCCCACTCTGCCTGACACTGGGCACGTGATCTGACTGAAGCTTCTGCCCACACTGCTGCTGCCCTCCCTGGGCAGAGTCCTAGGAGGTGATTGTAGTTTCATCGCTGCTGGATCATGCACCTCCCACCCTACCAGACCTGGCCAGGCCCAGTGTTGTCTCCTCGGCTCCCATTACAGGATCATAGGGGACTAGAAGGAGATACCTGGGGTGAGCTCTTCTGCTCGCAGGGTCCCAGGAGTCTGGAGATCAGATGGTGAATGTCTTTGGTGGATGGCATCCATCTGTATGCCAGTGAAGGTGACAATGCCTGACTATGGATAAGCTCCTTTCAAATATAGCATCACATCTGTCACAGGAGACAATATCCCACTTTATCTACCAGCCCCAGTAAGCATATAGGCAAGGTGCAAAAAAAACTAAAGCCCAAAAAGGGGGATGAGCCACCCTGGGGCCACCCGACCTCAGTGGCAGGGTGGACCGGGATCCCACAGTGTGGTCCTGACACTGGTTGCACAAGATCCTGCTGACTCCTCTTAGCAGAGCCTCCCTTACCCCCACCACCTAACCACAGCAAAAGCAGAAGTTAATCTAGCAGAGCTGTGAATCATTCTGTGGAAGGAGAATGGAGAGAAACATACTTTATGAAGACCCTTAGTCAAACAATGTGAGAACTACAAGCAATGTTTTGATTGGAATTGGATTGCTACTAGGAATGTGCTTATGAGATTAGAGGTACCAACTTATACTACAATATAGAATTTAATTCCTGATATTTTGGGATCCCATTTCTTTACAGTTTGACTGCAGTTAATGCCTTTATCTCTTCCCTTACTTCTCCCTTTTCACTACTTCCAGAAATGAAAAATGTCCCAAGATAAAAGTTTTTTCTGTGGAAACTGTCAGATACATTGGAAGGAATTTCATTAAAGGATTATAACTGTAGTAAAGAGTAGCAAAAATTAAAAATATATTTTTAATAGAATGAGTAAATGGAGGAAAATACCCAAGTAACAGGAGTCATCTGGCCAACAGTGGCCATGATGAGCAGGACATTCATCCCAATACAAGGCCAGGAGTGGTGGTTTCCCAGCATCCTTCAGGAGGAGACAGAAGATATAAATCAGCAGGACCTAATGTTCATACAAAATTCATTGCATAAGTTGTTGTGTCATGTGGGGCTATATTAGGTCATCCCTTACTCATAAGAAGGCCATTATTTTACAGATGTATTTACTAAAAGCTTTTCATAAAATAGCCCCAACAATGAGAGATTCTCTAACCACTTTAGAAAAGTTTCACATAACCTGAAGCCAAGCAAGGCAGAAAAACTTTCTGGAATTTCAGACACTGGTCAAATCTGTACTAAATGAAGTATTTTCAGACTATTCTGTCAAGACATGCACTTTTGACTTCTTAAAATTCTTTGCAATTTTTAAATTTGTGGAGTCATAGTTACAAGTATCAGGCACCCACCTGCTCTTCAGCTTTGGTACCTTTGCACTCCTTCTCACAAGTGTGTGCCTGAGCTGAGTGGGCTCGGTCCATTTTACCGAGCTTCTGTTAAGACCAGGTACGTTATGCAACTGCACCATTTAGTCCACATAATGACCTCCTGAAGGTGGTCAGTATTTTATTCCCTTTTTATAGGTAAAGAAACTAAAGCACGAAAAGAATAATTTGTCAGGACACATAGGGACTAGTATATGGAAGTTCAAGGGTTCAAACTTTGGACTTTCTAACTGTAACCACACACCTCAACTCT